TGGTGGTTTCCATGGCCACAATGTCATTTCAGAGCTGTGTTTATACTCATCTGAGAATTCAGTTGCCAGCCATACATGCAATGAGCTCTGATGCTTTTCTAACCATGCTACAAAACTATTGAATTCAAAATTTGTTTTGACTTCATTTGGCAAAGAGGATGGTAGGGGAATGGATGTTACCTTGGTAGTCAATTGCACAACGGAGCTTTGAGCTGGCTGAAAGAGGCTGCAGGGGGTGCTTATTAAAGAGTCTGCTCAATCTTACTGCAGTTTGTAAATATTGAAATTGTATTACCAGATGGCTGTAATATAAACAGGGCTGTGTGTTCCCTGTGTTTAGGGAGGGAAAGCTTTATGTTTCAAGAAAAGCTGAGTTTGGAAACTGCATAAACAATTTTAACAAAGGTACATACTTTCCCTCCTTTATTTTGCTTAAAACTCTAATTTTGCTATTATAAGGAACAAGAAAAGATGCTAAAGACTAAGTCATACATTTCTTCAGTTGACTGCCCAGCAATCACCTGTTTATTATTAGTATAGTAGTATAGTATAATTTTATTTCTATGCTGCCCTTCTCTCGAAGGACTCAGGGCAGTGTACAGCCTATTTAAAAACACAAGACAAACATCAATTAAAAATTTAAAATTATTAAGTAAATTCGGCTCAATTTAAAACCCCAGAAATTTAAAATACCCCAATTTAAAATTATTATGTTGATAGCCCAGCCTGGCAGAACAACAGGGTCTTCAGTGCACAGCGAAATATCCGGAGGTCGGAGATCTTACGTATTTCCGGGGGCAGTTCATTTCACAGGGCTGGGGCTCCCACAGAGAAGGCCCTCCCCCTGGGTGTCACCAGCCGACACAACTTGGCCGATGGCACCCTGAGGAGACCCTCTCTGTGGGAGTGAACTGGCCAATGGGAGGCTATTGGTGGCAGAAGTCGGTCTCGAAGATACCCGGGTCCTATGCCATGGAGCGCTTTAAAGGTGGTGACCAACACCTTAAATCACACCCAGAAGACTACTAGGAGCCAGTGCAGCTTGCGCAGGAGGGGTGTCATGTGGGCACAACGAGTTGCGCCCATAACCACCCGTGCGGCCGCATTGGCAGTTTACTGAATGTTAATATTCACATTGCTACTTGAAATATTGCTTCTACATTTACCAAACCAGTTTGCAGGCACTGATTCATTTTATTCATTCAAACTAGTTTTCTGGTAGTAAGTAAAGGTGGGCAGGAGGTTGAAATGGTGACTCACAGGAATCTGGGATTTTTCTGATGGAATCTCTGGTGAATTTCAATGGACCACTACTGATATGTGAGCTACAATGTGAAAATCCACTGAGATTGGGAGCTATTTATGATTTATATGTCCATTTGAGAGCATTTTTTTGAATTGGAATAAATTTTACAATAAACAAATTGACAAGGGTAGATATGTACAGTCATTTTAAGCTGGAATGTATTAGCCGCCCAACTGTTGAAATCTGTATTTGGTTTGGAATTGATATAAAGCAGTGTTTCTCAACGTTGGCAATTTTAAGAAGTCTGGACTTCAACTTCCAGCAAAGATGGCTGGGAATTGAAGTCCACTCAGCTTCAAGTTGCTAATCTTGAGAAACCCTGATCTAAAGGAAGAAAACAGACAAATTAAACTTGGTGTTCAAGTAATATGAATACAAATTTCTCATGCTTTTTTTTTTCTAAAAAGAAAAAAAGATAAAACAAGTGTGACTCTTGGTGTTTGAACTCCCTTTAACCATACTATTATTCTGTCTCATGTTGAAAATTGTTCTCTCCCGAGTTTCTATTTATCTGGCAGAGAAGTTTTCCTTAGGGGTCAATGGCAACTTTTCTCTCGGGTAGTAAATGAGAGAGGGATCTATTTATATATTTATTAAATTCATATTCCATTACATTCAGGATTCTTGGCAGTTCACAATGCTTATGAAATGCAGCAATAAAACATCACAATTAATTAAAATTAAAATTATATGACACAATTGTGACAATATCACAACCTACCCCAAAGCCCTCTGAAATGATTTGATTTTAACTAGATTCCAGAACGCTATAACCAATAGATTCAGTTTTGGCTTCAGGGAAAGGTTGTTTCAGATTATTGGGACCACCATGAGAAACAAAATATTTTGGGCCTCAACTCCCTTCATTTGCAGGAATGAAAATACTAATAAATTTCTCCAGCAAAAGGATTGATACTTTCTAAATCATTTTTCCCAGTGGACTTCAAAGACAATTTTAGGTATGATAGTACCATCATGGTGATGAGTCATTGTATGTCATGATGAAAGCATGAAACACTGTTACAAGGTCTTCCCTTTCCAGATGAGGTCATAACTGGATACCAGGCAAAAGATTTCCTGGTCCATCTGCCCTTCTAACAGCAGATGTGAATTTAGGAGTCCCCTATTATCTCAGGTATAGTGTGAAATTCTAGCAGAGAGACCACTGAGCTAATAAAGCCAAATTCTATTTTACTCGGCCTTAAATTTAACTTGTTTTTCCAAAAATGTTCTGAATAACCTCCAGACATCAAGACAATTCACCCATGACATATCCAGTTGGAGGTGGAATGGCAAGGTATAACAGAATATAATCAGCATGGTAGTAACTCATCATAAATTCCAAATGATTTCTCCTAGTAGCTTCATGTAAATACTAAAAGCAGTGAGGAAAGACTGATCTTTATGATATCCTACATGTGAGTGGTCATCAGACCAACCACTCTTCCCATTCCAATGATTATATCTGGCCATTAAGAAAGGAGAACAACCATTGTAAAATAGTGCTGCTGCCCTATGACCTGCAGATGGTCCAGAAGTGTACCATGATTAATGGTACTGAAGGTTGCTATAAAGTCCAAAAAGTCCATGGTATTCCTATCCAAGCCCACCCAAGGTCATCAAATAAAGCAACCAGTCTCAGCCTTATGTCCAGATCTGAAAGTAGTCTAAAAGAATTCCTGATAAAATGCTTCCTTTAGGGTGCTTTGCAAATGAATACCCACTGCATATCAAAATAAAAGAATTGGAAGGGACTTGGAAATCTTTTAGTCTGACTCCCTGCTCAAGCTATAAAAATTCAGATAATTGGTTGTCCAGTTTTTTGTTTAAAATCTCCAGTGTTTCTCCCACAACTTCTGGAGGCAAGTTGTTCCACTGATTAATTGTTCTGTCAGGAAATTTCTCCTTAGTTCTAGATTGCTTCTCTCCTTGATTAGTTTTCATCCATTACTTCTTGTCCTGCCTTCAGGTGCTTTGTAGATTGATTCCGTCTTCTTTGTGACAATCCCTGAGATATTGGAACACTGCTATCATGTCTCCCCTAGTTCTTCTTTTCACTAAACTAGACATATCCAATTCCTGCAACCATTCTTCACATGTTTTAGCCTCCAGTCCACTATTCATCTTTGTTGCTCTTCTCTGCACTCTTTCTAGAGTCTCCACATCTTTTTTTACATTGTGACGACCAAAACTGAAGGCATTATAAAGTAGTATTAACACTTCACATGATCTTGATTCTATCCTTCGGTTAATGCAGCCTAGAATTGCACTGGCTGTTTTTTGGTAGCTGCAGCACACTGCTGGCTCATATTTAAATGATTGTCCACTAGGAATCCAAGATTCTTAGTTACTACTTATTGAGCCAAGGTACTACCTATTCTGTACCTGTGCATTTGGTTTTTCTTGCCTAAATGTAAAACTTTATTTTTCTCACCATTGAATTTCATTTTGTTAGATATGTCGAGATCCTTCTGTATCTTGACCCTATCTTCTGGTGTGTTGGCTATTCCTGCCAGCTTGGTATTGTCTGAAAATTTGATGAGTCCCCCTTCTATCACTTTGTTGAAATCACCGATGAAAAGATTTCGTGAAGAGTATTGGGCCTAAGATCATTTTAAAAATATTACCTCAGTGTATAGAAACCATAGGTAGGTAGTGATTTTTTGTTCCTTTGGTTATGTGACACAGGTAGCACTGCTATGAACAAGCAAAAGAGAACCCCAGAAGTTAAACTTTTCCCACTCTTGGGAAATCTTGAAATGTTAAAGTAATTTTAACATGTTAAAAGACTTTTTCTTTGCATTTCTTTAACATGCATTTCTTGGATTATCTTTGGCCCATGTTTTGTACTATACCTACAGTGCATTTTTAGGTTATGCTATATTATCTCTTAGGAGGTGTGATTACTCTGCTGTTAAAGACACTGAGCTTGTCAGCTGAAAAGCAGACAGCCTGGTTTCGAGACTGTTGGGTGACGGTTTGAGCTCCTGCTTGGCCCAGTTCTTGCCCACCTTGCAGTTCGAAAGCATGCAAATGCGAGTAGATAAATAGATACCACTCTGGTGGGAAAGTAACAGCATTCCTTGCACTTCAGCATATAGTTATGTTGTCCTTTCCATGGAAATGTCCTTGGATAATGCTGGCTCTGTTGGTTAAGAAACAGAGTTGAACATTGCCCCCTAGAGTCAGACATGACTGGTAAGGAAAATTGTTAGCTTTATATTATCTCTTACATCAGACATCAGACTGAATATGGGAAAAAAGTTTTCTAAGAGAAAGTGTACTGTTCCAAACCTTTTTGATTTTTGCTAAGGGAGGAATTTCTTTGCAGACTTGCAGTCTATAAAGCAGCTAAAAAAACCCCAATTATCTGAAACAATCTCTAGCACTCTTGTACTCTTGTAGTGCTGATTGCTTTAGCGGGTGGGGGGAGAGATGGCACAATATTTTTAGAGATACTGAAAAAGGCCTTCCCCCCCCCAACTTCTTCTGCTATAGAGTAAGAAGTTCTGGAAGTGGCCTTTCAGATGCTATTTCTTTTGGCTGAAAAATGTGTATAAAATGGTTTGTGCCAGATATATTGTGATGGAAGGCTGGAAGTTACTGTTCTGTGGATAGAGCAAGTTATCCTCCATCTTTTCCTCATCAGGCACTAGGCTAGGAAAGGCTTGTGTCTGAGAGCTAATGCCAGAGGATACTGTTCTAGCCTAAATAGATTCATGTCTAATGTTCTTAAGGTAAATAATATAAAGGAATGAAAATGGAACACAACCTATCATATTAATGATGTTGAACCATGTTGGGGAAATGGTAGTGAGAGAGAAAAATAATTTGAGAGCACCCCATTGCCTGGTGCGCTCTCACAGGGAGGGCCTCCTTGGGGTCCCATCGGCCAGACAGTGTCGGCTGGCGACTCTCAGGGAGCGGGCCTTCTCTGTGGGCGTACCTACTCTGTGGAATCAGCTCCCCCGGAGCTCCGGATGGCCCCTGATCTTCGCTCTTTCCACCATGACCTCAAAACATGGCTATTTGGCGTGGCCGGATTGGACTGAAGGGTTTTTTAAAGGTTTTTTGTATTGGTTTTTATATTTGAATACTGAATTTTATGTGTTTTTTATCGTTGTGAGCTGCCCTGAGTCCTTTGGGAGAGAAGGCGGCATACAAGTTTAATAAAATAAATAAATAAATAATGTTCAGATGTGTCCATTGGAAAAAATCACTTGCTGCTAGTTTTTATCTGAGAAATGCTGGAGAATATGTTTCTACTAGGGAGTTTAAGCTATGTTTAGCCTCAGAGGTTGGATACTTTTCCACTTCAAATATTGGTCATTGAATGGCTTTGATGATAATATAGTGAATCTTCTACCCCCCACATTAATATGATGTGCTATAGTGAAGTCTAATAAGGTAACTAAAAGGCACTAGCCATCAATGCTTTTCAACTTTATACTTCACAGTGGACTATGAGACTCAAAACCAGTTGGAAGGAACATGCCTGCTGTCAAGAATATGGCTTCAAGCTGTTGTCATAGCAACTGTCTCTGTCCAGTAGGATCACAATGGCTCTGAGAGTCCCCAGCCCCTACTCAGTCATTTTTACCACTTCAGCTGTAGTAATTCCGAAGCCCCTTATACCAGATGTCTATACAACCTCTATAAGAGAAATGCCAAATGAAAAAATAAAAGTTTTCATTTTTAGTGTCAGCAAATGGCAGGGAGGCATGAGATCAGATAGCTGATTTAAGATTGTTAGCGAAGAAAGCAATAGAACTGAAGAAGATTGCCTTTGATTATTTAGATCATGCCAGAATGTGGAACGTGTAAGGGTTAAGAGTATGCCAGATGATCTGATCATTCTCCTTGGGCATCTTAACATGGTAAGAACTATAACAATTAGTTGGAGAAACAGTGATTCAGAAATGGAAAGGAAGTGCCATAAGGAGGCACATTCTCTCCATATTTCTAAAACATGTGGTACATATAGTATGACAGAATTGGGAGAGATGATAGCTACAATCAATTCAATATTGAAAGAATAACAAATTGAAAATGGAGATAAAACTGTTACATAAAATTTCAGGCTTTATTTTAAACATTTTATTAAAAGCGATATTAGCTTTTAATAAAAAAGCAATTTTAATAAAATACCATTTTAGCATGGTATCCATGCTTCCTTTTGAAGTTTTGGAACCATATTTTCCTTTGAGCCAAAGCCATTTCCTTTGATGTGCAAAAACCAACCCCTTCAATAACTGTCAATCAAACAATAGTGCTGTATTGTGAAATTCTTCAGTTACAAGCATTAAAGAAGCAAACCCTGGTGGGAAAGGAGGAGATGCAACATATTTTAGGAGTGACTGTCTTTTCTCACATCTAATCAAAGCCTTTTATTGTTTGATGTTTTGCTTTTTCATATGCCACATATATTGAATGAGTATACATACCATATATACCCTATATTAAAACCAAATCTCCCCTTAATAAAAAGGCTTTCAATTTGCCTGAAGTACTTGCCTGAGGTACTGAAGTACAATTCTGAAGTTCATAATTGTTGGAGGAGTGGGGAGATCAAAAGGCCACTTTGCAAAATATTTAGGGTTCTCTCTCAGATCAAAGCAGGGGTGAAATGCTCCCAGTTCGGACTGGCTCGGGCGAGTAGATAGTGATGCAGCGGGGAGTTCGGAGAACCGGTAGCAAAAATCCCTGCCCCCGCCCCCCATGCCCAGCTGAGCCAGGTGACCATCAGAGGCTTTTTTTCTTTTAAATGCCTCTGACGATCCAAGCTCTGACCATCTCAGCTGAGTTGCCTGCCGATCAGGCAACTCAGCTTGGATCGTCAGAGCCATTTAAAAGAAAAAAAGTGTTTTTCTTTTAAATGGCTCTGACGATCCAGCTCTGGTTTTTTAAAAACCCTCTGACAATCAGGCAACTCAGCTGGGATCGGCAGAGCCTTTTGAAAGCATTTTTTAATATGGTTTTACATGTAAAAAATGGTTTTAAAAGTAAAAAAAAATTGGCTATGCCCACCGTCACATTACCCCCATCCCCCACTAAGCCATGTCCACAGAACTGGTAGTAACAAATTTTAGATTTCACCACTGGATCAAAGCATTAGATTTTTTTCAGCTCTATGCTGCTCAAGTGCCTGAGTTTCATAGGCAATCAAGCTACTTTATTGAGTGAAAAAAAGAAGAGCTTACTATGAAAGTAAAAAAAATGAGTTATCTGGGTTAGTGTCAAATATTAAGAAGTAAATAATGTCAACCAACTTGCTTGGCAAATTCACAGATGACAATGAAGAAATGAAGGTGGTTTTGTATCTTTCTGGGATCAAGTATTGATGAAAGTGAAGGTGTTCAGTGAAGGTAAAGAGGAAATTAATTTTAGGGAGGAAAGCAGTAACTAGTTTAGACAAGACCATGAAGCATATTTCTGTGAGACAAAGGTCAGAATAATTTAAGATATACTTAAGAAAACTAGGTATTGAGAAAAATTGACTGCAAGAAGAACCAATCATTTAATCTAGGATGAGATAAAGTCTTTCTTATTTCTATCTCAAAGCACTGGGGCCGTGATGGCAAACCTATGGCATGCGTGCCACAGGTGGCACATGGAGCCATATCTGTGGGCATGCGAATGTTGCCCTAGCTCACCTGCAGCGTGCATGTGCGTGCAGGCCAGCTGATTTTTGAGCCCACCAGAGAGACCTCCGGTGGGCCTCCAGGGGAGTGGGAAAGGCCATTTTCACCCTTCCCAGTCTCCAAGAAAGCCTCTGGAGCCTGGGGAGGGTGAAAAACAGGCCTACTGGGCCCAACGGTAACTTTTTTGCCGTTGTGTGTCAAAAGCGGGGTAAGTGCGGGGGGTCGCGTTTGCATGCAAGGGGGGGTGGGGCCCAGGGGGCATTGAATTATGGGTATGGGCACATGCACGTGTGACCCCCCCCCCCGCTCTCCTCGCTTTTTGCACATGACGGCAAAAAGGTTAGCCATCACTGCATTAGGTACTGAATCTGGAATTTTCTGTGTATAAAGCATCCATTTGCTCCATCACCATTATCGTAATTTTTTTTTCATAAATGTACAGATTTTCATTAACAGATGATTAAGAGGATCTCCCCCTCCTTTTTAGAGAATATCTCCAACAGATTTAAAGACTTTTGAAATTTTTGTTGTCCTGACTTCTCTGTCCATCTAGGATCTGTCTAGAATGTTCATTTATTTCTCTTTCTCCCTTTCTTACATTTAATCGTATTTTCAAAATGTTCTTATGATCTTAGGTTATCTTACACACATAGGTATCATTTTATTCCTGTGAAGAAGATGTTACATTTAGATTATTTACAGTGCAAAGGAGCTACTTGACAACTCTTGAGAGTTTGACTGCCAGCCATAGTGTATAGGAAAGCCACTTTGTAATTATACCCAGAGGTGGCTGTGATCTCAACCTCTTGGATCTATGAGATGATATTGTGTTTCTTAATGGGAAAAAAAACCCACTCACTCTTAAAGATTATTGACTTTAATCTGAGTTCTTTATCTTGAGGAAAATAATGAAGATGGAAACAAAGTCATGAAAAACTAGGAAAAAGAGACAAGGAAGGGAAGAATTTGAAAAGTTTAATATGTCTGGTTTACAAACTTGTACAAGCCTAAACCATTGAGTTCATTTATTTTCAAGTATATGTATACCACAGGGGGAAAAAACATTCAGGGATCAAAGATAAATCTTATTTTTCTCACCGAATATCCTGTAGCTTGTCCTATGTGTCTGAAACATAAGGCATCTTGTGTTACTTAGACCTTCTTAAAATACTTTCCTGTTTGTTTGTTTGTTTGTTTGTTTGTTTGTTTGTTTGGAAAATCAGAAGTTTGGGATATACTAACTACTATGTTCTTTTCATATGTTTCTGTGATCTAATATAACCTGAATGTTGTCTGTGCAAATTTCTCTGTTTGGCTAAGTACAATGCATTGTAATTCTATATACCAGATAAATTGTCATGCATGGAAGTATTGAATGAAGGTGCATATTAATAATAGTATATTAGGCATTTTTAAATTTACACTGTATCATAATTTTAATTTCATTGTTATAAAATGGTGTATCATTGACATATGACACCATTTAACTGTCAAAAATGTACAAAGGAATAACAAACCAGTGTTGGAAGTGTGAAAAGGAAGAAAGGACTTTTTATCATGCATAGTGAACTTGTGAAAAAATATTAGATGCATACAGTAATGGAAAAGATATTGTGGATCAATATTATAATAAAACATGATAATCCTACTTACAATTATCAGAAAGATTCAAAATAGACAAATGAATTTATGGTATTGAATATTCTAAGATTGACTTTGAAACAGATTTGTATATGTATGATGATAAGTGATTGCTAGAAAGTATAGACTTTTACTGATATTTGAAACAGAAGAACAAGTAAAACAATTTACAATGAAGTATGGTAGGCCAAACAAATGATTAAAATAATGGGAAATTGTGTGACTGAAAGGATTGATATTGCACTATGTTATAATCTTAAAGGAAACTTACATTATAAATTGATGTACTATTGGTATATGAATACAGAAAAACTATCAAGAATATATACAATTCAAATTGATGTTGGAAATATGGACAACAAGAAGGATCATTTTAGATTAGACCAAACTGATGATTCATGGATTTGGGGATTAAAAAAGGGTAAAAAGGATTAAAAAGAAAACCACTTGGGGGGGCCGAAAGCCCTACTAAGCAGATATATACAAAAGTATGAAGGCTATTGCTTAATGCATTGTAAGCCGCTCTGAGTCTCCGGAGAAGGACGGCATATAAATCGAACCAATAAATAAATAAATAAAGAGGAAGGGTAAAGAATAAGAAGGCAATTATTCAATAGATGGAAAGATGGATGGCAGTCATAATTCTGTTTTTCTTTCTTTTTTCCTCTTAGTATTATACTTTTTGTATTGTTATTCTTTTAATTTTATATTCTTTTCCTGTTCTGAAAAGTTGTAATGAAAAAATAATAAGTTAATGCAACTATTCTTCCAATTAAGTAAAACTTTAAAAGAAAAGAGTATTTCTTTAAGGAAAAAAAATACATATAGGTTGCCATTCTGCTTCCCAGCCACATGATCTAGGATGGTAGAGGTAGGTACTTGTTTATTAGATTTATACCTTTCTTTCAGAAATTCAAGACATTATGTGTAGTGTCCCTTTTTGATATTTCCTACAATAACCAAAGTAGATTGGGTTGAGATATTGATTGGCTCCATAATCTCCAAGATCCGGAATAAGATATATGGGCACGATTCAGTAGGAAATTCTCCAGTACAACCATTTCAAAATGGTTTAATCAGAAATATTTTCTTCTGGATTTTGTGCCTCACATTATTAAAATATTATGATTCTGAAAAGAATTGGCATGTTTTAGATGTTTTTTTAGCCATACAGTTTCTTTCAGTTTGCAGACCCTTTTTTTCCCCTTCTCATTTTAATCCACCTCTTAAACAAGAGACAGCAAATCAATCTGGCTCAACAATTTAAAAAAAGGATTTTTAAGAGTAAGCTGTGTGTATGCTTTTTTAGATCTCCACTGCAACAAATGAAAATGAATTGACACCATGAGATAAAAAAGTGAAATCTAAAGGGCTGTTGCATGAAAGATAGATTCTATTAAAGAGAAAACTTGTTACTCTTCCTTTATCAAAGTAATTCAACTGAGACATATGACAATAGACATATTGGCAGTCTTACTTCACCAAGTACAATGCAAGATGTGCCACACTTATGACAGATACAGCAATCAGACTCCAAGTTTTCCAGAGCTTGGAGGTGTGATGGATGCAATGACTAACAAAGAGAGGAGCCCCTT